TCAACAGGGATAGCTCCACGTCGCGGCCCTATCCGTCACTGGCGCCATACGCAGGCGTCATCTCCCAGTCGTGGCGCTCCACTCCGTCCTGGCGGACGTCGTGGTGAACTGACGAGCCTGTCAATACTCATACGAGGGTTAGGCAGAACAGCATCGGTACGCCCTACGCTGTTCCTGATGTGAATCCCCAAGTACAGCCCGTCACGGCCACGGGTTATATTGGGGCGTGCCGGTCACCTCCCTGGTGTTAGAGCTTTGACCCAGGCCTGTTCGCTTGGACCTGGAGTGGTCGGCGCCGGTATAGGTCTCCGTCGGGCAAGACGGATCCCCCGGCCTCGGGGTCGGTCGAGGCGGAGTCCCCCCCCAGAGGTCGGGCGAGGAAGAGCGCAAACCCAAGGATCGGGCGAGGTGGAGCCTGCCCTCAGAGGTCGGGCGAGGCGGAGCCAGCCCTCATAGGCCGGGCGAGGTGGAGCCAGCCCTCAGAGGCCGGGCGAGGCGGAGCCCGCGGCCTCGGTGTCGGGCGAGGCGGAGCCAGCCCCTATGGGTCGGGCGAGGCGGAGTCCTCCCCCAGAGGCCGGGCGAGGCGGAGCGCACACCCGAGGATCAGGCGAGACGGAGCCCATGGCCTTGGGGTCGGGAGGCGGAGCCAGCCCCCAAGGGTTGGGTGAGGCGGAGTTCCCCCCCCAGAGGCCGGGCGAGGCGGAGCGCAAACCCAAGGGTCGGGCGAGGTGGAGCCCGCCCCCAGAGGTCGGGCGAGGCAGAGCCAGCCCCTAAGGGTTGGGGGAGGCGGAGTCCTCCCCCAGAGGCCGGGCGAGGCAGAGCGCACACTCGAGGATCGGGCGAGACGGAGCCCGCAGCCTTGGGGTCGGGCGAGGCGAGCCAGCCCCCAAGGGTCGGGCGAGGCGGAGTCCTCCCCTAGAGGCCAGGCGAGGCGAAGCGCACACCCGAGGGTCGGGCGAGACGGAGCCCGCGGCCTCGGTGTCGGGCGAGGCAGAGCCAGCCCCCAAGGGTCGGGCGAGGCGGAGTCCTCCCCCAGAGGCCGGCCGAGGCGGAGCCCGCGGCCTTGGGGTCGGACGAGGCGGAGCCAGCCCCCAAGGGTCGGGTGAGGCGTAGTCCTCCCCCAGAGGCCGGGCGAGGCGGAGCCCGCAGCCTTGGGGTCGGGCGAGGTGGAGCGCGGACCCGAGGGTCAAGCGAGGCGGAGCCTGCGGCCTCGGGGTCGGGCGAGGCGGAGTCCTCCCCCAGAGGCCGTCTGAGGCGGCCTTGCAGACCCAAGGGCTCAGGGCGAGGCGCAGCAGCCCAAGGGGTCGGGCGGGCGGCCCTGCAGCCTGGTGGTCGGGCGAGGCGAGTCCTCCCCGGAGGGTTGGGTGAGGCGGGCACTGCACTCCAAGGGCCTCGACGACGGCGAGCGCAGACCCAAAAGGTCGGGCGAGGCGGTCTCTCCCCCAGAGGCCGAGGCGAAGTGGAGCTTGCGCGCCGCGGGGTCGGTTGGAGCCGTAGTCGCGCTCTTGACTACTCGGATGAGTCAATGTTAATGGTCATTAGCTCCTCCTCTTCAGATACCCTAGTATTGGTCCCCGACACTTAGCTGTGCCTTTTATCGTAGCTAGATGATTTTGTATCCATATATAAATATAAATTGAGTATTCAGATATTCCGCCTTTTCTTCCAATTAGCTCATTGGTTTGTGATGGGATTATCAGAAATCATAATCTTAATGCAGACAGAGATTCTAAAGAGTGAAGCAACTCCTGCCATGAGTTTGCTCAATGAACTTCTTAATCTTCATGATGGAGGTGACAATGAAAAGTGGTTAAAGAAATGTAGAAAGCGCATGCTTGAAGTCTTTCTAAGAGAGGACCCATTCACTATGGTCTTTCCTGCTGGGTTCAACATGGAGAATGTATGCTATTTCAGTCCAAGTGACCTTCCCATATCTTCTGAAGACTTAGTACAAGATCTCTCAAAATCGAACATAGCAAATTTACAGAAAGACTAACAATTTTAGGTGTTGACTTACATGTCACTGCTCTTAGACATCGCTACTGAATTTTTTTTGACTTGCACAGAAGTATATAAAAAAACCACCTGCAGGGAAAGACCGTCCCCACGGCCATTGACTTCAGACTTGCACAGAAGTATAATATAATATAGTAAAAGTAGGACAAATACAAGACACCTGTAATTTGTTCTTCAACATATATATTGTTGAGCCCTTTGTCATGCAGATCTCTTAGTTTTTGTTGAAAGTTTTGAAATCATTGACACAAGAAACAATTTAATTTCTTTCTGAAGAAAAGCATACATGATAATCAATATAGACATTATTGCCACATCACCCTTAGCAAAATAATTGAGTCTCAATAAAATCAATATATCCTTTTCGATTAATGATTGGATTTAGGATCTACTGCTTCCTTTTAAAATGACTTCTCTATGTTTTCTTGGTCCTAATGTGGTAAAGAAATATTCTGAATATTCTTTTTTATATATCGTTTCGGGTTTTTTTTTCAGCATGATAGGCGAATTGAGCTGCCGCCTCAGGATGACGATCTTCTTCTGAGAGTGGACTTTGTCAGGGAAGTTGATGAGCTGCTGAAAGAGGTTCAAGCTGAGCAAGACAAGAATAAGCAACAAATTGGATTTGACCCAGAATCAGTTGCATATATGCTGAAGCAGCAGGAGAAGATGCATACGATACGTCAGGTAGAATCTCTCCTGGACTTGGCGTCCTCCTTGAAATGGTGAGGATTGAGTACTATCGAACAACTATGCTGTCTGCTTAGAAGCTAGAAGTCATTGACCTTACATTATACTCAACAGTTAGAGGGGGAAATCTTGGTTTTCAGCTAGTTAGACCAATAACCGTTCTGGGTAGAGCCATGCAATTTACTTCTGGCATCCATGTACATTTGTATGTGTAGAGATATATTACTATATATCAATATGTCTGCACTGCTAATGAACCCATGATGTCCGACACCAGTTGAATCTTCACTATTGCACTCATTTTGATGTTTGAAATCAACTGATGTGAAGTTGCGGTGTCTCCCGCTGGAGGTAGCCTCCAGTTCCATTACCAAAGGTTGGAGGGGCACCAAATCCTGCTGCAAGCCAAGTTTTCGTATCTGATGCGCAGATTCAAATTGTAGAAAAAAGGTCGCGATTTTGTTCTGAAGTATTTGAAGACTTGGAGTTCACACGGTGAGCTCCAAGCCAACAAGTTATATCGTATCTGTTGCGCAGATTCAAATTGCAGAAAGAGTTGGCGGTTTAGTTTTGAAGTATTTGGAGTTTACATGGAATCGAAGGCTGAGAATCTGGAGGGATACGTATTTTGAACAGCATTAGTAGCGCTCCCAGCTTCCTCCCTATCAGGTTCTGCCGCCCAACAGCTACCAGCAACCGGCGAGAGCCAGCCACCACTCCACAGGCAGTCAGGGCAGGCAGCATCAGCAACTTTTTTTTCCCTTTCCTTTCTCCGAGATTTCTTTATCAATTTAGGCAAGCACAAGTTCTTTTTTCTGGTTGATGCTTATTGATAGATTGAACACAAAAGAAAATTTGCTTAGAAGAAGAACATGTACATCGAGGACTACAACTGTGTTCTCTGCAGCGCACAATGCGAAGAGACAGCCTTTCATCTTTTTTTCCAATGCCCGTTCAGCACTGATTGTTGGAACCAGCTTTTCAATCCCCACTGGGACACCAATCTCCAGCCACTGGATATGGTAATCACAGCCAGAAATAACTTTGGCAATCAGATCTTCAGAGAATTGGTTATAACTGCTTGCTGGGTCATTTGGAAGATGAGAAATAGCATCATTTTTTATGAGAAATAACTTTGGTTTGTATCAAAGCTAAGCGTAGTAGGAAAGTAGAACTAGATTTTTGGCACGAGAATTTCACATAGCTGCCTCTTCTCCTTTTTTTCTTTTGAGCTTTGCAAGCTTTGTAACTTGTACATATCCTTTATTCATATATATACAAAAAAAAAGGTAGGGGGCTCCCCTGCCAACTGTTTCAAAAAAAGATTTCTTTATCAATTGTTGCACACAATTTTTAAAAAAAATATGCCGTAAATCAAACAATCATGGGGAACCCACTAATTGAACAGAATGTTATTCCAAATTCACATGAGAGAATGTCGACAAAGACTCAAAAAAAAAAAAAAAAGAATGTAGACAAAAGGAAGCAAATCATCCTTGTACACGAGTGTTATTGAAGCATGAACAGTTAACGCCAAAAAAATAATTCAAATTTGTTTTTGAAATCGAAGTAAGCAAATTTAGATCACGCCTGCAAGAATTAAAAATCACCAAGAATTCCATCATACGTCAATAGCTCGATTAAAAAGTTCCTCCATAGTATCTGGTCGTACTGTGCCCATACATGACACACATTATTGTTCATCAACCCTTATTTTTCAAAAACATTATTAAATATTTGATTAATTTTCTTTTCATCAAAATCCTCAAACTCACAGGCATGTTTGTCCTACGCAAAACTGCAGCATAAGCAAACTGTCGTATCTGATGGGGTGCAGTGAGTAGCCATTCCGTAGACCTACACATCAAGTTTGTGAAGTTTTCTGTAAATAAACAAAATCAAATTATCACCATGAGAAAAGTATGTTGCGTTGCAATGCATCAGATGATGCAATCTGCGGGGACAATACAAATGCGGTATCCGTAGTTGTGGCCAATCCACATAAAATCATGTTAATATTGTAAGGGTAGGAAAATGGACTTTTTCCATTAATAAATACAAATTCAAAAACATGGCAAAGGAAGCTATCAGCTCACATCTCAGGTTGTTTAGGTTAAAAAGGCAGTAAGAAACTAGGCATACCAACCATGTGTGAAAATGAGGAACTTTATTATCATAAACATTCTCATCTACAATTTGCATCTTATTGGAACTGAGGGCCCTCTCAAAGTTGCTATCCACAAAGTTTCTTGTTATTGCTGAAACCATACGAGCTTCCTGTTTGACATCAGAAACTAGGAAAGAACCCTCTTCGATTCAAACAAAACACAACTATGTGCCTTCACTTGATACGAGGAAAATCCTAACACTTGGTGTATTTCAGGACTAAACTCTCTTGAAAAGAAACCTGGAAATGCAAGTGATGTATCAACCAAGCGCAGCCACATGGATCTTTCTGCAATAGCTGGTAAAGTAGCACTTGCTGACTCCTCATTTGAATTGAAACAGCTAAACAAATCACCTCCAGTTGAATCTGGTAGCTTCTCGTCCAGCTCCGCATTTATGTGCATGCAAAGAAAGTTGCTAGTAGGATCCTCCCAACGTGGTTCAGATAAATCACTCCCATACCAATGTATATTTTCAAATTTTAGAAATTCTCTTCTCTGGAAAATGTCCGCTCGTTGACTCCTTAGTGCAGATAGAAATGAAATAAACCCTGCAACTTCCTTAACAAAAGTGGTCTTCAAGGCTTTCCAGTTCAGAGGTCCTCTATCCTTGTATGATGTTGAACCAGCAGCAGAGTGTCCACATTCATCTCCCATGTTAAGAACAGGAATGCCAAGGGAAATAAATTGAATAAACAAGAAATTGCGTATCTGCCTTAGCCTTGTATGAAGGACTGCATTGTTCTCTGATGGTCCTTCTTCACCACAATTCCAGCTGAACTCAGAGCCAAGCTCATCACTGCTGAAGCTCACTAGATCAACAAGAGTGAGTCCAGAATTCCTGGATACATAATTGAACGAAAATGCTGGGCCCCTAGAGGAAAATAAGTCCCCACTGCCACACAAACGTGTAGCAAGATCACTGACAAGTGCTTCACCCTTAAGAAACTTGCGCACATCCATAGAGAATCTTGTGTTCATCTCAGCCCATCTTTTCCAATGAGGGAATGGAAATTGCACATTAGATATGTCAAGCGGAGACCAAGGATCTGCAATGATCTTAGTCTTTGAAAGAACAGGGTCAAATGCTATGGCTTCAATAAGTGGAGGCCGTGAAAGGCCCTCACCACCTCCTCTGACAAGGAAAGGGGCATTGATGAAGCAGAACCCATCAACATGGAAGTCAAGCACCCAATGGCGGAGGCTGTCCAAAATCAGCTTCTGAGTCACCGGATAGTTGCAATTCAACACACTTGCCTTGCATCCAGCGATTCCATCAGATATGTAGTACGAGGAACCATCGATACCTCGGATTGATATCATCTGACACTCTGCTCCTCCTTCAGCAGTATGCGTGAAAACAACCTCCAAGAGAACCTCTATTCCATTTCTGTGCATTGTTTTGACCATATCCTTCATAGACATGATAGCTGAAACACTGGAGCATTCACTGCTATACAAGCTCATAGGTGAAAAGAAATGGTACGGAAAATATGGTCCCTTCACTTGGTGGAATGGGAACACTGGCTCCAGCAAAACTGCATTGACACCAAGATGCCTGAAGTGTTTCACCTTCGCAGCCATGCCAGAGAAAGTACCGGCGACATCGTCTGCCAGCCCACTCGACCTGTCCTTGGTGAACAAAGCCACATTTGCCCGGTAGACCACCAGCTTCTCCAATGGCAAGCACGGGTGCTTGTCCCTGCCCCAATCGTAGCTGGGTGCATTCTTCAAGGACGCGAGGGACCTGACGGCCGGCACAGCTACTAGCCCATCCTCATTAACAGAGTCGGCAGGGACGAAGTCCCCGATCACCTTGGCGTACGGGTCGAGCAGCGGGCGGTCAATGCCAAACATGGCGAATAGCCCGCTGCGGAAGCCATAGCTGGCGTATCCCTCCACGCTCTCCATCGAGACGTGCCAGACATCGCCCGTCCGGTGGACGTACGGGTCGAGCTCGATCTCCAGCGCGGGCTCGTCCCCACCGCCGCCACCGAACAGGCAGAGCACCATGCCCTTGGCGCTCTTGCTGTAAACCGCGAAGTTAGCGGCCCCGTCCTTGGACAGGGACAGGCCGAGCGGCGAGGGGCAGCCCCGTCCGACGCCCACAGGCACTCGGAAGCTCGTCCCGCGGTGCGTCCGTATCTCCGCTCCCATCGCGTCGGCCAGCGTAAACGAGACGTGGAACGGCGCGCGGGCCCTCTCGTAGGACAGCTCAGCCGCGGGCGCGCCTCCCGGCGCGGCAGGGGTCAGAGGGACGCCCTCGCCGGAGCCGGCGAGGCGGAGCACCAGACCGCCCCTCCATCCATGGGCCGGGGCCTCAACGGCGACCGTGTACCCCGCATCGCCGTCTTTCCCGGCGAGGACGGCCACGTCCACCACGCCGTCGTCGTCGGTCCGGAACCGGTAACAGCAAGAACGCGCCGACGCGCGGGCGAGGAGGGGGCCGCAGCGGGGCGGAGGGCGGCGGGGCGTGAGCCCGCGCCAGGCTGAAGAGGGCGGGGCCGGCGGCGCGGGGAGGGAGGAGGACATGATGGAGCGGCGCGATCAGCGGCTGGGGAATTGCGTCGAGCAGTCGGTGGGCATCGCGTGCTGTGCGAGGAAGAGGGGCAACGAGCAGAGGCCTGTGGGGTGGAGTGGAGAGTGGAGCGGGGGAGGGGGAGGAGCCGAGGCGCGGCGCACACGTGGTACTGGTGGAACTGGAAAAGCGGGCGCGGACGGAGGAGGACGAAGCGCCCAGGCGGGCGACGGGGTCCGTCCTTTTTCTTTTTTTACCCTTTTGATTGATTGATTGATTGATTGATTGAAATGAAAATTCGGGGTTCCGTCCGGGTTGCGCTGGCCGTTGGAGAGCGGAGACGCATGGGCACGGCGCGGCGCGGCCCACGCCCCACGGGAGGGCGGACGATGAGCGAACGGCTCACATTACGCGATCGGGAAGTGCGTCGCTGTCCTCTTCCTCCCCGGCCCCTGACCGGTGACGTTGAGGGTGGTGGGCAGCACTGCAGCAGGGCAGGCAGTAGGCTCCGTCCGTGTGCGCGCTTGTCCGTAACGGCTAATGCCTAACGGAATCTCGCGGATGCGGTCAGTGTTTTCTTGGTGCTGCCATACGTGAATGGCGTCAGGCCGTCAGCGTAAATGTTCAGCCAGCGAATGCTGATTTGGTACGAGAAAAAACATGATTCGTTCGTTGAAAAATATTATTAAACTAGTTCAAACCAACAGAACTGATCTTGTACAGGGTGGGCATGTAGATAGAGCGCACGACCCCAACGTCTCGTCCTGATCCTGTCTTTTTTTTTTTTAGTGTTTTGTCTACAATAAGGGCGTTACTGGCTTCCAGACGTCCGGAGCCGCTCCAAAAGCGCACGACTCCAACGTCTCGTCCTCTTATTTTTGTTAGTGTTTTGTCTACAATAAGGACGTTACTAGCTTTTGAAACACCTTTGGTGTTACGCCCTAAACTAACTACTAAATCATATCACGAGTATTATGTTTGTGTAATAATGCATATGATGGAATGTGTTGATAAATTCTTATAGCCTAAAATAATCAATAAAAATATTAAATCAATGTTGATGCAATAGCTCATGTATATTAAGTAGGGTTTAAAATCAATTTTTATTAAGCAAAAATGCTATAGAACACATATGTGACACCTTAATAAAGTTTGAAGTACACACTTCATAGAAGATAACTTTTGTTTTAACAAGATAATAATGCTAGCCTAATATTTCTAATACCTTGGAAATCGAATTTGAAATAAACATCAGCCAAGACAATCAATTTCCTAAGTCTAGGCTATGTTTGGGGATTTATTTTGAGAAAATTAGTTGGAAAATGGTGTCACGTGTAATCTCTTTTCAATAGCCTAATGTGTTCTCCGTGATGTAGCAAAGGTGGTTTAGTCTCAACTCACATGAATTAGTTGCTACACACGCTTTAAAATTCGTGCACGTCGCATGTCTCGAGCTAGCTGTCCCTGTGTGAGCGGTCACCTTGTGTGGGAACTCAGCGTCGCCGTGCTTGAGTGCACCACGTGCACGCGCACTACCGCGCGTTGGCCGGCCGAGGCCGTCTCGGCCTGGCCGTGGCTCGGTTGTGCCTTAGCCGCTCTGGCTGCAGCGCCTGCTGTCGGTTGGCCGCGGGCCACAGTGCCCCGCTACCGCCCAGCACGCTGCTCCCCTACCTATCTCTGTGCTGCCTCTACCTCGCACTGCAGAGCTGCTGTGACCCTTCCCCGTCGCGTTTCACATGTGGGCTTGTCTCTCCTTCCCTGTCGCCATGCGCGACGCTCCGCCATTTATGGAGCTGCGGCCGTATTCACGCGCGCGCTACCCCACCGCCTGCATGCGCACGTTTTGGCTTTGGCGCCAGAGCGCGTGTCGCCTTGGTCGCGTCGATCGTGTCTCGCCAAGCCGACGTCGCATCGAGTTCCAGTATTCCCCTCCTTTCTCTTCTCTCTCCCACCATGGCCAACTGAGCCACGACTTTAAGTGCGGCAGGGAGAGGTCATCTCAGGTCACGTCATGGTGTATCTGGCGCCGTCATCAAACCGCCTAGCCAGCTGTCCTCACCCCGCCTTGATTAACGCTCGGCCGAGCTCCAATTTTGGAGCTTTGCCCCGCCACCATGCCATTAAGGCCGAGCCACCCATCATCGTGGGCAGCTCCCATCGGACCGCCTGGAGCCAAATTGGCTGCACCGCTAGAATCGCCTCGAACCCCTCCTCGCCATGCGCACCTGATCCGTACCCCTTTCGCTGTCCCAACGCTGCTGACGCGGTCGTGTCCGCCGTGGCTCGTCGTCGAGCTCGCCGCGTGTACGCGGCCAGCCATACTTGGGGCGTCTCCGGCCGAACCATCGCCTTCGCTAGGACCGTGGTGAGTCCCTGATACTCACTCGCTATCGCTACTGCCCTACGTGTGTAGCAACTCACCAGAACGCGGCCGCCACCGTTGTAGGTTGCCCACCGCCATGGGGGAAGCCGTCGTACCTCGTCTCCGGCCTCCGAACCACGGTCCGGTGCCACGCGTCGACCTCTAGGTGAGCATCGACCCTCTAGGTGAGGCGTGGAGGTCCCTAGTCGACCGGCATGACCACCCTATGTCGGCCGATGCCGCGCCGACGAGCGCGAGGGTGTCGGGGACCTATCCGTTGTAAAGAAGAGGAAATGTTGAGGGCCTTTGTGCATAAGTGTTGTCTTTAGGAATAATAGCGTGGACCGCGGGTTGTTTGTTCAAAAGCCAAGGGCTTTTCCTACAAGAGCATCAGAGCGCCTACGGGCTCCCCTCGCGTGGGTCGTCTTCGCGCGTGGGCCAAGCTTGGGTTGAGCCGCGTTGGGCCGTTTTGGTATTTTTCTTTTTCTAGCCGAATTAGTAAAGCTTTTCTATTTCAATTCTGAATTAGATTTGTATATTTAATATAAATTCGTACGAATGTCCAAAAATCATGAAACAAATTGTGTTAGGTTTCTAAAATTGTGATCTATCTACTAGTATATTTTGTTCACATAGTTTTATAATATTTTTAGGAGTTATATAATTAATTTGAGATTCTTAATATTGTAAGATATAAACTAAAAGGAATTTTTGTGATAAATTGGTGATAATGTTGGCTCTAAACTTTCACAGTAAATCCCTAACATTATTAGATGCTCACTGTAATTTTTATAGCTCTATAATAATTAGTTTGCTAAGGTAGCTAAATGAGTCCTAGTTCAAAAATATATATTTAATCAATAAAATGCCAAAGCATCTTGGGATTTTAAAACTTGAACATTTTTTTCCGGAGACAAAGCCTTTCTTGACGACGTGGATACGGAGACCAATACGTTACTCATTAAATCTGGCTCGTTAGCTTACGGAGCGTAATCATATATTTAAGAGTTGCGGTTACCGTTGATTAATTGTGCCTCTCGTTGTATCCACGTATATCATAATAGGAACAACGATGGATCATAGAGTTGACTGAAGTAGCGGAAAAGATGATGCCTTGATGATCATGTCACTATGATGGAATGCAAACTTTTGGTTATATCTTACCCAGGCAAACCCCGGTGCATAACCCCTATCATTCCATACTTTATCTTATGCTTATTCATTAAGTTTTAAGGAGTTGAATGAAAATCACTTGCATATTATCCTTATCCTATGAGTCCTACTAGTATGTCAGGATCGTGTAGATTGCTATGTTATAGGATCCGGTAGAAATCAAGTGATTACCTGTCACTCACGATAAATAAGAAAGATATTATTGTTGTTATTATATTACTGTCACAGGGAATATATATATATATATATAATGATAATTGGAGACCGGACGAAATGACACTTTAGATCTGGACTTGGTTTGGCATTCGAGCGAGGCTCGGATTACATTTGTTCCACCTATGTTGATTGAGGACCGTCCATTGCTGTGGATGGTAGTCAGGTCACAGACTTATTATCTTAAGCACATACTTGCTTATGGGAGCGGGAAGGCTTGTTGTTCTCTTCTCGTGGGTTCCGACTCTTTTCGGACTAACTGATTGGAGGTGGGGATGGTGGAAATCTAAGCACCACACTAAGTCTAGGACTCAAGAGTGGGGGCTTGGAGTCCAAGTTTGGATGGGGACCTAGACCCCTTGACAAGAGAGTGGTGGGTTGGTCTTGCTTGTGCCTGGGGTATAAGTAGGGCGTGTGTTTCGGGGTACCCAGCTGAAATATATTGGTTCATGAATCGCCGTATGATGCGGTACGACTTAGCTATGATCTAGCACCATAGTAAGAACTAGAATATGAAAGATAGTAAAATAGTTCTAATTGCTTAACACCTGCTTGAAAGTAGTATAGGTGCTTACATAGAATGGTTATTTATTGAACTAATGATTACTGCTAATAAAATTGAATATAAGGATGCATGTTTAGTAATGCTTCCATAGATGCAACAACCCATAAGCCAGATAGCCTCGCATATCCTTAGAGTCTTTTATTTTCCTCCTGTTGAGTAAGTCTTGCTGAGTACAATCAAGTACTCAGGGTTTTATTCCCCTGTTGCAGGTGATCGGAGGATTGTGTGTGGAAACCTCCTTGTGGGCTCAGAGAGGATTCTTTTCCCGCTACGACCGTAGTGTTTATTTATAACCCTCACTAAAGGTTTTTATAAGAAAAGATGTTCATGCTCCGTCATGTCATTAAATTAATCCTACTTTCCCTATAACTTTGATAACATTGTTATATTCCGCTATTATAATAAATTAAGGTAATATTCTGGTACTGTAATAAAGTGATGTAAGAAATGACTTAAGAATGTTGTAAGCTTTATTCTCTCATTTATGATCCTAATGGAAAAATGTGGATTTTTGAGTTCTCCCTTGGGGTGTGCTCGACGGAATTGTGTAGTTTAGCATCTTCTCTTGGGTACTTAGTGTCTAATGGAAGACAAGTACTCTTGGGGGCATTAGACTAGGCGGTTCTGCCATAGCTTCCGGCGTCCAAGTCGCTCCAAAATATCGGATGCCTCCGGTCCTTCGTGCGGGAGACCACGTCACA